TATATAAAAAAAGCCAAACATTATTATACTCCTCCAGCAGCGTCGTAAATAGTAGTTAGCGATTCGCTTTTGTTTACAGTCTATCACGGATAGTCAAGAAAGAATCAATGTCTCACCTGTCCTGCCATCAACATCTCACACCGGCCAAGAAACACCTGACTACAATAGGGCCTCAACATCTGCATCATCATCAACAACCCACCGTGACCGTCGTCGAAGCCAAACCGAGACGTCCTTCCAGTGGACTTCAGCACAATACGTGGCTGCATTGACTAGCTTTGATGAGTTTGCGTCAGGTCTTAATTTTGAAGTAACAGAAAATATGACTGAATTAGATACTTTTTTAAAATTTTTAGATAAAGACTTTATGTCGTTCATTGTACAAATGACAAATGAGTATCACTCACGTTTTGTACTAAACGTAGACCTTCGTATTCATTCTCGCCTACAAAGGTGGCATGATGTATCTATTCCAGAATTGTACATATTTTTTGCTATATTAATGTTAATGACTCGAAATCGTCATCTGACTATAGAAGAGCACTGGAGTACAGATTTGTTGTTATCATCGCCCATTTTTTCTCAACTTATGCCTAGAAATCGCTTTTGCACAATTCTAAGCATGTTACATTTTTCACGGCCAAGTGAAGAGACTAATGTATTATCTAAAATCAATACTTGCATTAATCACGCTAAGGAAAAGTTTAAAAAAAATATAACACCGTATAAAAATCTATGCATAGACGAGAGCATCGTTCCCTTCAAGGGACGATTATCAATTAAGCAGTATTTGCCAATGAAAAGGAATCGCTTTGGAATAAAGTTGTTTGTAATGTGTGATGTAGAAACAGGCATTATCATTGATTTTATTGTTTACTGTGGCGCAGCTACTCAAATAATAGATCCTTGTAATTTAGGTGTTGGAGGCGCTGTTGTCTCAACTTTAATAAGGGATTATTTCGGTACTTATCGTCATCTATATATTGACAACTGGTATACTAGCCCGGCATTGTTGAATTACCTCCACGAGAATAATATATACGCGTGTGGTACTGTAAAAAAAAACAGAATCGGTATGCCACGCTTTAATACTCTTAAGCCTGGGGAAGTCCAAGCGCAGTATTCTCCTCCAATGACAGCTCTAAAATGGCGAGACAAAAAAGATATATTTCTTTTGTCAACGATTCATAGTGATGTTATGGCGCCGTCATTAAAAGAGGACAGAGCGACGGGGCTCCCAGTTATGAAGCCACAAGCCGTTTTGGATTATTCCAAAAATATGGGAAGCATTGACACGGCTGACATGCTACTGTCTTCTATACAGTGCATAAGGAAAACCGTAAAATGGTACAAAAAGTTGTTTCTGCACATAATTGATATGCACGTATTGAATTCTTTTTTCAGTTTTCGGCAAATAAAAAACATGCCAAATTTACATTTTTCACAATTTCAGTTGAGTCTTATTCGCCAAATTATAGAAAATTTTCATTCTTTCAATACTTTACCTTCATCCATAAGCAGCAGCCACAACAATCCACTGCGCATACTACCGAAAAACTACAACGATCACATGCCGACCCTTATGGGCAAATACCAACGCTGTAGGCAATGTGCAATTAAAAAAGAGAGAAAAGAAACACGGTACACTTGTAAAATATGCAAAGTGTATTTATGTGCTGCTCCATGTTTCAAAAAATATCACTCTTAATTAATTATTCTGTTTATTTTTAGACAATGATGATCATTTTAAATTTTTTGTTATTTTTTTGCATTTACAATGCTATTCTGTCTGGAAAATAATATACCAGAAAAAAACAACCGGTCAACCATGGAGCTCAGCTGGGATTCGAACCCAGAACTTTTCGCTATCCGGGCGACTGCTCTAACCATTGAGCTACCGAGGACCTAGCTAAACTCGTCGAATTTTTCCAGTATATTTGCACTTCAACGTTTAAGCCAACGTTACAACGTTGGGTTCGAATCCCAGCTGATGAGCTGAGCTCCATGGTTGACCGGTTGTTTTTTTTTTCTGGTATATATTTTCCACAATGATGATCATATTTTTTAAATACGCTTTTTTAAAACGTTTACTTTTTTATAAGTACCTACAATACGGAATTTTGAAATATATTATTTATATTTATGTTACAATCTAGTTTTACCAATGTTTTGTTAATTTGCTGTGATAAGATAATTTAAGATTAATTACATAGGTTACAAAACAATCGATATCGTGTCCCGCTTCACTATTTCGCGATTGGTCGGCGGCGGCCGAGACTCGCTCGCTCGACCGACAGTATTCGGCAGTGACGAGTGTTCGTGACACGTGTGTAGAATTAATAAGTGGATTATTACCTTTTTTTTGAGTTGAAATGGCGTCCAAGAGTATGTGGCCTTCGAAACGCTATTTATTTACGGCAAGTTGTGATTTTATTACATAATACTTACTGTTATTTGTTTTAAATTTATAGGAAAAATTGACGAGAGCCAGTCAATTTTGACTACCGCTCACTATAGCCAAGACGAAGTAGACGTCATGGACTTGCCATCAACAATATGCGATAGCGAATATCATGCCTATTTGCCAGAGTGTCAGTCGCAGTTACGAAGCTGCGATAGTACGCCAGATCTTTATAGATCTACTGGGACACAAACTTTATTAAAGACTACAAATAAAAGTACACAATGCGAGCGAATTGTAAGTCCAATCAAAGAAACTGCACAAATTTTGGCTGACGGTTATTTTGCTGGAGATGAAACTCTTAAAAAGAAGTTTATCGAATGCTACATAAATGTGGTCTCGTCCATAATTCGTGTCATCGATAAATAATATTTTTACAGTTTAGTTTAATAAAAAATAAACCTCTAATTTGTTCGACTGATTATAATAAATAAGAATTGTTCTGCGATTATTTGACTGATGTTATGTTAATAACAAGAAATGATAGCTGTGATTACTTAATTGCTTATATAATAAGTAGTAGGTAAAAGTTGTATTTGTGATAATTTAACTGATTTTACAATAAGTATTAAGAAGTTGTATCTGTGATTATTTGACTAATGTTATATTAATAAGAAGAAATTATATCTGTGATTGATTACTTGACTGATTTAATAATAGTAAAAGTTGTGTTTATGATAATTTAACTGATTTTACACTAAGTAATAAGAAGTTGTATGTTTATTTGACTGATTTTATATTAATAAGAAGAAATTATATCTGTGATTGATTATTTATCTGATTTAATAATAGTAAAAGTTGTATTTGTGATAATTTAACTGATTTTACACTAAGTAATAAGAAGTTGTATGTTTATTTGACTGATTTTATATTAATAAGAAGAAATTATATCTGTGATTGATTACTTAACTGATTTAATAATAGTAAAAGTTCTAGGTATGTGATTATTTTACTGATCTTATTAGGCTGTAGAAAATTGTGTTTGTGGTCAATCAATAAAACTTTCAAGATCTGAACGCTTTTGTTTCATTGGGTTACCAAAATACCTACTTATATTAGAAATTTCATTAAGTGCGCGAAGGCACTTTTGAGCTCCTAGATTGAACTACTGTTCTAAACAAATGAAATTAAAAAAAATAGAATGTTATCTCTTAAATAGTCGAATAGTTCGTAGCGGCCTCTGATTTTTTAGATGTCATTGATTTTACTTAGAAATTATTCTAAACCAAAAAACGTCGAAAATCGCTTTAAGATCGCTGTGAATCTCACCTATACGATAATATTATTGAACAAAATTTATACCAGAATAATTGTTACTTCATAATATTTTATAATGAATTTATTATCTTATTTCGATAAAAACTATAAATACAACTGCAAAATTACTACAAAATATGTGCCGGCCGTCCGAACTCAGCTTTTTCTCGCAGAGTGAAAATTTGTTATACTAAGCATGAATTTATTATCCTATTTCCATAAAAACGATAAATACAACTGGAAAATTACTATAAAATGTGAAAAGGGGCATTTTACGCAAAAATCATGATCGAGATGTAACAGGCCTCTTTAAGTAAAAACGGAGAAAATCAACTAAAGCTAAGTAATTAATTAGTACTCTAATAGACAACCCTTTCTTTACCTTGTTGTTTATAATTTATAATAATAATTATAAGTTTACTTGAAATGTCACATCATTACCTCGCACGCAAGAAAGCTGTCAAAGGTCGTGCCAACCACGCCAGAGTCGGGTCTTCCCGACAGCGAATGCCTACACGAACGAGATTAGTGATGTATCTTATTATTACCTGATTTATTCGTTTGTAGTTCTAATGTCTACTTTTACTTTGTATAGAATTTTGTAACTGCTGTTAAATAATACGAAATCAAAAAAATATATTTTATTTCAAAAATATGTGACGAATAGCAGAGATTAAATCGGTTATTGACAACTTATCGATAACATCGTTGGCATTCCTATTTTATTTGTAGGTATTTGCTCTGAATTTATGGCTTGGCGTGGGAAGGGCGCCGATGCGTTTGAGCTCTGGCGTTCAAAAGGTTAATGGAAAGTTGAACCTAATAAGTTTTAATTGTGAATCTGAAGCGTTCTATTAACGCTATTCAGACTCTGTGCCAGTCAGCTGATATAGTAGCTCTCCAGGAAACGTGGCTGCTACCGGAAGATATGCGATACCTTTCCTGGGACAAACACACAAAGATTTCGACTACACCGGGAAATCAGCCGTGGATACCGCCTTCGGTATACTTAGAGGGAGACCGTACGGCAGTGTGGCGATTTTGTGGCGTAAACGAGCTTTTAGGTCCATGGCAGAGATATGTATTGTATTTCATGTCATCATATATATCTCCTTATCTTTTAGGTCCTTATCTCCTTAGTCCTGTCATAGACTGTGTGTGTTCCAGGCTTGCCGCCATAAAAATTTACTTATGTGATAAGTCAATTCTTGTGTTCAGTGTTTACATGCCAACGGATACTAGTGATAATCTTGCGGAATTCACGGAATGCCTTAGTGAAATGAACTCAATTATCGAGTCTAGTGGATGTGGAGCAGTATTTATGTTGGGTGACTATAATCAGGGGCGGCCCCCTAGGGCGGTGCGAGCGGTGCGACCGCACCGGGCGCCATCATATGGGGGGCGCCGAAAACGGCCGAACGCCCGACTAGGTACCGATCGACTTAGGCCTTTTAACGGGCGTTAAAAAAGCGCTGAAATAAAACAAATTGAAACCCGTATATTCATTCACGCGAAGGCGCTTTTAAACCGCAGCGCTTTTTTATCGCGCGCTGTTCGATTTTCGACGTTGAGCGTTGGACGTTAAATTGAATTGAGCATAAGAAACTCCGTGTTTATGTTCAGACGAGCGTTAAAGAAGCGCCGGCGCTGCAATCAGTTGGCCGTGCGCTGTCAAAGCGTTCGTGCGTGTCTGCAGTCGTAGTGCGCGCCATTTACAATGACGACGTGGGTGCTCGATCCCGAGTTGCTAATTATGGAGGTTGAATCTAGACCTCTGTTGTACGTTAAATCTTTACCCGAGTACGCAAATAAATTACAAAAAATGATTCTTGGGAGGAGATTGCAAGTAAATTGTCTTTTGATTGGGAGTCACTGGAAAAAGGAGAAAAAAATAAAAGATGTAAGTACCTACATTCAATTTATTATTTAGTTTTTAATAGCAACGTAAATACAAGTTCACTCTAATCTTCGTCTATTAATTGCATCGCATTGCCAAGGAAGGGAACCTTGTGGTGATGTAAAATATTTTGCGAAATAGTCTCGTACTTCTACACCTCTACTATTACTTCTTAATCCTGTCGTTTGTAAACATTGTAAAGTGTTATCATATAATGTATCTTCAAATTGGAATCCATCTTTGATCCTGACAAAATTATGCAATATGCAACACGCTTTAACTACTGATATCGTGTTTTTGGGTTGAAGATCTATGGCTTTTGTTAAAACTCTCCACTTGCTAGATAAAATACCAAAACTACATTCTATCATTCTGCGTGCTCGTGCAAGTCGATAGTTGTAAATAAGTTGCTGCACAGTCAACTTACGATTTGGGTATGGTCTTAAAACGTGTTCAGACAAAGCAAAGGCTTCATCACCGATTAACACATAGGGCATTGGTTTTCCATTTATATCATGTGGTAGAATTTTGGGTTGTGGTAATTCTATTTGTCCTGATTCTAATCTCCTATGAAATAATGTATTTTTAAATACATTAGAATCGGAGGACCCACCATATGCTCCTACTTCGATGCAAGTAAAGCAGTAATTAGCGTCACAAATTGCCATCAAAACGAGAGAAAAATAATTTTTATAATTGTAATATAATGATCCGCTTTCGTCGGGTTTTGTTATTTCTATGTGTTTGCCATCTACAGCTCCTATTAAATTAGGAAAATTGTTGCCCTGATAAAATTCTTCCGATATGTTTTTGAAGTCATCACTAGTTTTTTCCGCCATGTAAATAGGCATTAAACAGTCCCATATCGCGTCACAGACTTGTTTAACAATGTAATGTATGGTTGACACTCCTATCAGGAACTGGTAGTGTAGATCATGAAAACTGTGACCAGTCGCTAGAAACCTGTCAACAATAAAAACACTTTTATTTAGTAAATATATATATTTTTTGTATTTCAGGCAAAGAAGTGCAAGCTAAATGGAAACATATCAGGGATAATTTCCGGAGAGAATATCAGGCACAGCGAGATGTTACATCGGGTCAAGGTGCAAAGAAAAGGAAAAAGTATAGGTATTACGACCAGTTATTATTTTTAGTTCCCCATGTGAAGGATGCCCCCATATCGGGAAACTATACGGCGGCAAGTAACGATTCAGAGCAGACAGAATCTAATGTAGAAAATACAGATAATACATTATCGGTTCCGCCTGCTTCTCCTCAGCAAATAAAAAAAAGAAAGAAGGAAAATACCATGTCAACTTTCGAAGAAGAGGTGTTAAAATCAATAAGAAATGACAAGGCGGAACCAGATGAAGATACATCATTTTGTTTATCCTTGGTCCAGTCTTTAAAAAAAATAGATGATGATAATAAAATGGCTGTTAAGAGATATTAAATATAATTCGGCAGTATTCCCGGTCCAATCAATCTCGACTTTTACAGAATAATCAACCATATCTTAGACAACCACAGCAGTTCTCACAAGTCTCGCAACCATCATCCATATCCATGAATCAGCCCCACGCTACAATAGAACTCAAATCTGTACATCCATCAAACCAAATAAAGATTCTAGAACAATATCAATATTTCCCGCCTATTACTTCTACGTCTACTTCTACTGGAAACAATTCAAGACCACAATCTGCACAAAGCTATTTTTCTCAATTCGTCCCCGTTCCCAGTCCGTCACCAACAGATACATCAAGTTCATCGATAGTCCTGTGTCCTTTGACGAATGTAACTGCTAGTTCACCAGAAGAATACTTGCCTACGGATACATATTCTCATTATTAAATATTAATATTATATTAATTCGAAATGTCCTATCATACCTGATTAACATTAAAATAATTTGAATTAATACTATTCTCTTTAATTAATTCCTATAATATAAACAACAGTAACAATATTTTCTACAATGAAGGCCGCAAAAATTTATCGGGGGTTAATGCGAATGTGGGCAAATGCGACGGGGGCAACTGCGAATAGGGGCACATGCGTCGAACCCAGAGTTTTGTGGCCTTCGTTGTGCGAGATATTATTGCTGTTGACTGTATTATATCATCACTTACCTCAGAGTCACTGCTAATCTCTGCACAGCTGGTATCGCAGATCTCATGTTAGTGTCTTGAAGAGTTATTCGAGGACTCACGATTCCCAATAATTCATCGAATGTGCTTAAAGACATTCGGAAAAAGTTAAAGAACTTTTTAGGATAACTCCTCAAATCTTCATAAAGCAACACAAATGTCCTTTTAAATATCGTTGCTCATTATAAGATGTTATAGGGATGTACCCAATATAATTTTAATTTCCTTTTCCGCCTCCTCGCCACACAAATGGCTATTGTCAATAATTTTGCTCTTAAATTCATAGTTTAATTATACGTGCACACCGCAGCGGGTACGATTTCAGAGTGATTTTTAAGCGTTCATATGAACACGAAAATTGGGAGCGGTGAAATACCGCTAACGTCAGGTTATAACGCGACGCTTTATAAGCGCTCGTGCGAATGAGGCTTTACGCGCAAGCAAATCTTATTGTTGCAAGCGAGTAGCGACGAGCGACGAACGGGGAGGCGGTGAGGGGAAAAGGTGTCCAAACCTGAATTCTGAACCAATATCCTTGAGCATTTTTAACCCATGTGGCTGTCATAGCTTGAATTTGGTGGTAGCAGATGCAGTTAAATTATCCGCTAAATCGGTCTCTTTATGTGAATTTCTCCAAAGACTATTTGTAATATTTTCTGGATTAACAAAGTGGTAGGAAGACATATCCAAACACATAGAAGAACTATCACTGAAAAAAGTTTGCAAAACTCGCTGGGAGAGTAGAGTTTCTAGCCTTGCTTCTGTTCGCTACAATTACTGTTCAGTCCATGATACTCTTTTGAATCTTCACGAAGAAACGAATGATTCAGTTGCAGAATATGGAGCAAATAGAATTCTTAGTTACATTGGTGGCTCAGTATGATATATTGTTTCAAGTAAACATTGTAAGTAAAGCTATGCAGTATAAAACTATGGATTTATCAAACGCATCGCAATTGCTGAAAAACTGCTCGAATTTGTGAAGCAGTACCGGACTTATTCGTCTGCTCAAATAACAGCTAAAGAAATAGCTTCTGAGGCTGGTATAGATTCCACGTTTAAGCCTATTAAGTTATTTGAAGAAGGTAATTTTACAAGAGGGCAGTGGGAACAAATACAAGGTGGCCGAAAAGATATTTATCCTTGCTATTCGCTTTTACAAAAAGCAAAAATAGGAGTGGTATCCCCCTGAAGATAGCATAAAAGTTACTGAAAGTAGCTTTGAAGTGAAGCTTCAACCTTTGCTGGACCATACGGCTTTGCGACTACTTCAGTATTTAAAAGAAGTGATTGAAACGTATCACAGTTTGAGAAACAACACCTGATCTTGATATCAAAATGGGGCTATTATGGGTCTAATCAAACACAGTTCAAGCAGACATTTGCCAACACTAGCAACAATGATTCAAATATATTTTTAAGTTCTTGTACCTGTGTGGGAATGGATGTTTCTTTTAATGGAGAGACAAAAAAAAATGTATGGCAAAATCCAGTGCCTTCTACGATGAGATTCTGTCGTCCTATCCGGGATCGGTTTATTCACGAAACAAAGGATATCACAAAGGAAGAAATCGACTATATTGAGGAACAACCAAGGAATCTCAAAGAAATAACTGGCATGGAAGATTCCGTTATAATCAATCACACCATTTTGCTCACAATGGTCGATGGAAAGGTATGCAATGCCGCGACTGATACGGCTTCAACAATGAGATGCTATATAAATGTGGACAGACATCTAAGGACTCCAATAAATTTCAAAGAAGTAATGTTTGTAAAGTCTCTGAAATTCCTACTCTCTATTCTGCACGCGAGAATTCGTTTCTTCGAGCTATTGTTGCATCTGGCCTACAAATTGCCCTTACAGAAATGGCAAGAGACAGTAGAACACCTAATATTCGACTGCCCACGGTTCGCGGCGGCCCGGCACGACCTTGGGTCCAGGCTGGACGAAACTCTACTCGCCACCACCCTCCCCACCATAATGGAGAAGGAAAAGGGAAGAGAGGCGGTAGAATTGTTCTGCCGGAGTCTCATGAGAGTGGTCGGCGGTGCAAATGGCAGAAAAATTTGAAGCGGCGTCTCGTATTGTCTGTCATCTGGCGACCACCCTCCTCCATGAGGTGCGACCGTATCTATCTCAATGTATAATTTGCAATTTACTAATTTATTATTTATTATGAAGCCGACTGTTTCTATAAGTACAATTAATTTATCCCAATTCCCCTCATAATCAATCATCATTAATAATTAAATTATTATCTAGTTTTAGAATAACCACATTGTTCATATTTAATTTACAATTATAGTATATTAATTTATTATTTATTTCGAATTAGACCATTTCTATAATTACAATAAATTTACCCCAATTTTCTTTAAATCGATTATCATCAATAATTAAATTAATATTTAACATGACATGTACTCATTTAATATAATGACATACATCGTGAATATAATCTAAATATTTACTTTTCCTTTACATCGGTCCTCGGTCCTCGGCCCCCGGACCGATTTCTAATAAAATTATATTCACCTGCACTAAGCCAACGGCGGGGCGGCGTCAGTTCAATCTACCCTGCGTTGCGGCAGTCTTGTACCGATTCGCCCATAGAAGCCAATATAGTAACTAAGAAATCAGTAGTATTAACGAAAGCAGATTCAATACTACAGTGCCGACCAATCTTCCCGCGGTCCCTGCGCCCAACCATCGTGTGTACTAATTAACCAATTAACCAACCGACGAGGAAAACATGGCGTTGAGGCCGCGCTGCCCTAGCCCCAGGTGCCGCAGAGATAGGGAGATACTTAAGAGGATTGCGGCCGTGGCCCGCAAGTTGCTGGAGTTGGGGAATTACCTGGGGCGGGTCGGGGATCCAGAGTTTCCTGAGACTCCTGACATAAGGGACCCGAGGCCTGTCCCGCCTCTCCGGATTCCTCCGCGACGTCGGTCGCTTTCGCCGAAGGCTTCGCCGCCGCCGAGGCGCCCCCCCTTCTCGCCGGCCACTTTCTGCCATAGGTGGGAGGGGTCGGACCTGCTGGGGGATTCCGATGAGGAGATGGAGCATACGAGGGCCCCTTCCTGCCCGCCCAATTCGGAGTCCTCACCTTCACCTGCCGCTGGACTCCCGCCGCCCCGTCGACCTGCAACGGCACCGGCCGTGTCGCTGCACCGTAGAAGAAGAGCCATTTTGCCCGCCGAGTCGGAGGAGCCCGCGCGGCGACGCCGAGCCGCCTCCCACTCCCCTGACGCCGGGGCCGGAAGAGCCCCTCTACTTTTGCCCCCGGCCACCTCATCGGGAACGTCATCGTCGTCGTCCTCGGCGTCGTCATCATCTACGACGGGCACGCACATTGGGGTCTTCGGCCTCCTCGCCGTCCTCGTCGCGCGAGCGATCGAGATCCCGCTCTCCGCTCGGGCCTCCCTGTGCAGCCGCCCCCGCTGCTCCGGCGTTGCTCCTGCCGCCGCCCTACTGGGCCTACGTGCCGGACAGAGGAATTCGCAGAGTGATGCAATGCATCCTCTGCGGAATAATCATAAACTGTCACGTCAAGCGACATTATCAGAGGAGACATGCCCCCTACAGGGGGTGTGAGGCGGCGGGCCCCTACCCCCGGGGTTATTACATGCTGGTAATGAATCGGCTTCCCACATGCCCCCCAGAGGCCCCCCCTCGGTCTTGGAGGGTGCGGCAGGGATCGACTGGGAGTTCCTGGAGACGGGAGGCCGGGACCAGCAGGAGACAAAAATGATTTGAAAGAAACAAAAGAGAAAATACAAAGAAATTTCAAGGAAGAGATTGGTCTTCTTGTTGACATACTAAAAGTCGGTTACGGCAAAAGTAACGACGGAAATACGTCGAGAAGATTTTTTGACAATCCGGAATGCTCGTCTCAAATTACTGGAATAAATAAAGATTTAATAAAAAGGTTTCAAATCATTCTTGAAGTTGTTTCAAGCGGATATGATATTAATCCTGGCAAATTCGATGACTTTGCTCATACAACTACCAAACTGTATGTGGAACTGTATGGTTGGCATCCCATGTACCCTACAGTTCACAAAATTCTGATGCATGTAGCTCAAGTAATATCCAGTCATATTGTACCTTTCGAACAGCTATCGGAGGAGGCAGCTGAAGCCCGGAACAAACATTTCCGTAAATATCGGGTAGATTATTCACGAAAATTTTCAAACGTGGACTGCAACAGGGATAATTGCTGACTTCTGATCCCTTCATTAGCTGCAATAGAATAAAAAAGAAGAAGAAAAGCAAGCTCTTTTCCCAGGAAGCATTTGATATGCTTCTCTCGAAAGTACTAAATTACGACAGTTCCGATGACGATGATGAGGGCCAAATGACCAGAGAACTCGGAGACAGTGATTTGGATTCATTCGGTCTCCTCATATCCTATTCAATACAAAAGCTGATATAAGGGTTAACACATTGAATGTTAGTTAATTAATGAATAGTAAATACTCTATTAGATTTTTAACTATTATTTTAATGGTTTATTTTTTAAATAAATGCCAAATTATGCTGGATTATTGTCTTTCATTTCATAAAAAAATTAAATTAAATAAAAAATAATTTTAGTCCGGTTTTGTATGTGAAATACGCTTCGACTGTCTACAGTTCATTCGTTAACTAGTTGAAGTCATAGACGGCTAAATTGAGAGTCCACAGCGTTCATATCTACTGACAACGCGACGACGACGCGTAAACGTATCCGGTTTGCCGGTTACAAGTCCATACGTTCGTTAAAATAAAGCAATTTGAAACTTAAGTATATGGCGTGGGAGTTGATATTTGTTTGTTTTTTAAACTAGAGTTGTTAGAGTGAAAAGGCAAGAGTATTCTGATATTGCTTGAAAGAGTACGAGTCGCGCGTGAATGCGAATATAAGTGCTTGTCCAGAAAGGGCGAATTCGCCGCGAAACCTTTCGCGCGAAATCATACGCGCGTTAGTGAGATACTAGACACCAATACATCGCGTCCACAAGCATCGCGCAAATTCAAAATACGCGCGTAAATCGCGTGCAACTACGCCAGATTTGCGCGTATTTCCCGCGAGTCGAGATACTAGGGACGCCTTGTTGCGTCCAGTTAACGCGCGAACACAAGAGCGAGTGCACGTATCGAGGGAAATGGAGCGGCAAAATTTTGACACTGAATTGTTTATAGACGAAATAAAGACCGGCGATATGGGATTTGGAATCACCTGATTATGGCAACAGGATTTTAAAACGTAGGTCTTGGGAAGAATTGGTGTTAATATTCTCTGATAAAGACGACTCGGAGGAAAAAAAGAAAGATTTAAGTAAGTCATTATTATTATTTTATTGATTAGTAACAAACAAAGAAAATAAGATCACTTTGTGTTGCCACGGCAGTCGACCTTCCTTCATGAAATAATCAGCGAATATATCCCTCGTGTGTCGAGACCTTACACCAGGTCGAATTGTGGTCGTACTCAGATCATCTAGACCAGTTTCGAACAATGTGTCTTGGTATCTATATCCATCTCTTAAGCCTGTTTCACATTACGCAGATACGATAAGATATCTGATCTGAGCGCCATATCTTTCAATATCGCTCTCTTTACAAAATTCATTCAGAAACACAATGCGCAGATCATTTATATTTTATCGTAAAGTATCCGTAGGCTCCGACATATATTGAAAGATTGTAAGATGTATCGGCAGATTGTATCTGCGTATACAAAGATAACATCTGCCGATACAAATATAGGCAAGATTTTATCTACAGATAAATACAGGTGGTTATTTCGCGGCGGTAGTGGTGTGCCGTTTTTTGTTAACTTTTTTATTTACCGTAGAAGGTTTTTTAGTTGGACTGGACTCTGGAGAGTAGTTTTAGTAAGGGGCTCCCTGCACTAACACTAGCACCACGATGAAAAATATAATTGAGTATGATTACGTGAGTATCATACTACTAGGAGTATAGGTACTTATTGAGAACGCAATAAATAATATACCCATCACGTAATCGTAATCTATTATAAGCACAAACTGTTGATTTTATCGTCCAAACTTCAGATTAACATTCACTTACATTTAAAATTTTAAAAATGGCGTTAGTGTTGTCGCAGGGTGCCCCTTAAAGAATTAATAT